ACCTCCCACTGACAGGCACACGATTTACTAGTGTATAATCCCACTAGCAGGATAACAGAAACGAACCGGTTCTATCAGTAACATGTCGACATGTGTTAACGTTTATAAACCTCCCACTAGCGGACACACGAATAACATGACCATATCGGAGACAAAACGGGCAGAAGTTAACAGAAAAAATCACAATTCACAATCACTTTCAAATCATCAAGACAGTCAAATAAACTCCGAGCAGGCATGCTCAAATCAATAAAAAGAATAATAATCTTATTTCAAATCAATCATGCTCAATTTAATGAAAAGCATAAAATTTTCACTTCAAATCAATCATACTTACTTTTGCATAAAATGGGTTTAGTCCCACCACCACTTCAAAAACAAGTTAAAATATACTTTTAAAATCGGAGGACGTTACCATAATTTACTTACCTCACTCGTATAAAATCGAAAACTCGATCTTAGTGCTAAACTGACAGAACGATAAGGAACCTAATCAAAATATTCAAGAATTAATTCTATAAACAATTTCATTGACCGGATTGTGTATGTATATATTTATATACACAAATACATATATAAATGGTTTCCCAATCTCATGGATAAAACAATAGGGAACAAGGCTTTTATTTCAATTCCAATTTTTTCCCAAGTGGACTCCCGGACAAACAAATGGGAAAAACATGGCTTGGCAACACAAGAAGTCACGAGATTTATTTATTTTTTTCTCCAAAATTGAACACTACAATCGGGTTATATATATGCAAAATCACCCATACAAAATTCTCCAATTCTCAAGGCAAAAGAGAAGAGCACGGCTTGGGCAAAAACAGGGGCTAAAACACATGGAATTTTCCTCCAAAATCACAGCAACCAACTCACAATTTTCCTACATAAACCATTAACCAAAACCCATTCTAAGGCTGCCGAAATTCTCCCAATTTCAACAGAAGGATTCGGACAGTGCAAGGACAGCAACTAGATGATTTAAATTCAACAACACAAGCAGCAATTAATTGATAAATTTGACTTGGAGGAGCTGTCCATACCAGAATCCAGCAAGCAAGGCCAGAGCTGCAATTTGGGGGAAGGCCGGCGGCATGGAAGGAAAATTCTGCAGGGGACTCACGGGGCTACCAAAAATTGGAGAACCAAAAGCACAAATTAGAGTAACCCAAGTTAATTTAAGGCTAAAAAGAGGAGACCCATGGCTGTAGCTTACCGAAAAAAATGCCCATAATTCGCACAAGCTGCAGCTTGCGGATGGTAGAGGGAGGAAGATGCAGAGCAGATCTAGAATTTCTGGGTTGAGAGAGAGAGTTCTAAGCTTGAAACTTGGTTCTTGAGCAAGAAAGGAGGGAAAATTTCAAGAAGCCTTTACCGTTTCTCAAGAGGAGGGAAATCGGGGCTGAGCTTCTTGTTGTTCGGTGCAAGGGAGTCGGGGAGAGCAGAAACACACGGGATGAGGAAGAAAAAAAGAAGAAAAAAATACCCGGTCCTTATCCAATTCTTTCCTCTTTTAAATCCCTCAACTTTTGAAACTTTGGCAATTAAGCCCAAAACAATATTTTCCTCACAAGTTAGTCCCTAACTCACTTATTTATCCTAGAAATTTTTTGGGGTATCACATCCACCCTTCCTAAAAAGGAGTTTTGTCCCCAAAACTCAAATTAAGGATCATTTCGAGTGGTGAATGGCTTCACACAATCTGAGACAAAACAAATACCTCACCAACTCTTTATGAACAGAACATGTCCTACTACGCTTCCGCTGCGCCACTCTGATATCAAACCACAACTAATCATAGAAGCAGAACACTAATTACTTAACAGGATTACCATGAAATAAGCTATTGGAGGCTATGGTGATATGGGAAGCACAAGGAATAAAAATAAATCCTGCCAAAGCCATAAAAGAACAATTGTGGGGTTACGCTATGAACCTAACACAAGACGAGTTGGCAAAAAATGGCATGGATTTAAAGACGAGTACAACAAAACTTGAACTCTATCAAAGACGGATAAGCATCCGATGGATATATGGATCATGAATGAATGAACGAGTGCATGGATGCCTTATACATTCTGCCACAACAAGGTCAACCAATAAGCAAGGTCATGTTTAACAAAGCAATTGGAATCAAGAAACAAATTTTAGCAATCAACAAGAGTTAAAAGCTAGACCCATCAAATGACGTGAAATTTCCATAATGAAATCAGTGGAAAATATGAATGCTTGGAAGAATACTGGAACATAAGAGTGCAAGGTAGAATGCCTCAAAAATTCAGCAACAAAACGACATTCACCAAGAATCAAAATCAAATTTAACCAAGCAGTCAAAATTGAGAGACAAGAGTTAACCATGAAACAAGCAATAGAATTCAAGGATTAAGCCCACAAAAGAGATTTCAATAATGAAAACCAGAACACGGATTCAAGAGCAGATATAACTAGGATGTCAAGATCTAGCACCCTAAGTAACACGAATTAATTAACGGAATAATCAATAATGGGGATCAGGATACTTAGAAGATTACTGTTTTCTGATTAAAAGAGCAAACAAAAATCAAAACAGCCAGATAAAAGAACCATTTCTCTTGGAACAAAACTTTAGGGCATCAGGTACTTCAAAGACTACCCCTTCACCTCGTAGCCCATGGAGGCTAAGCAGATTTACAATTAAGTCATCCTAGACATCCTAGAGTCAAGTCAAAACTAAGACATCAAGATTACAGAGATTAACACTTGCAAGAGACAAGAATTAGGATGCCTTGTATAGGTATTTTCTAATAACCATCACCCCTCCTAAAGAGGTGTGCATATGAACAAAATCAAAATCAAGAAGATCAACAGGTATACCAAAACAAGAACTAGCAGAATATGTAGGATTTGAGCGAGAGCAGTATACAAAATTTGAACAAGAGTAGTATACAGAATTTGAGCAAGAGCAAAAGCAAGAGTCAGGACAAGAATGATTTTCAAGGACAATTCAAAATAGATTCCAAGAACAAAGCAAGAATTAATTTAAGACAAGAATCAAGATAATGAGGATTTCAATAATCATTATCCATTTTCTTTGGATTTCAGTTTCAAGAACAAGTACAAAGAAATCTCAAGAAAGATTCGAGATGGATTTCAAGAGTTTTAAGCAGTTTCCAAGCATCAAGAATGTAGAGATTGGCAACAATAGAAGGTTTAACTTTATGACAACTTTCCAATCTTCACAAAAACATGGTAATTTCAATTGAATTGATCATTGTTTTTGATTAACCAATATAGAAAAATGAGCCACATGAAAAGACCATGAAGCTCCAAATGGAAAAAGTGAAATTTCACCATAAGACTTGTAGAAAGATAATGAGCAACGAAATTACCAAGTTATCCAACTCCTAAAACACATCTAGAAAACACACAACATTTGCTAAAATAGCCTTGAATCTCTTACAAAATAGAGGGTTGCCCATCTTCCACTGGTCATGTGACAAACAGAACAAATTTCTCAACCAGCTATGCTGTAGAGACCAACAAGATCAATAACAAAGGATCTCTGCAACTCCCCAAATTTTACAATTGTGGCAAAATAGCATACAAAAATTCTATTCAAGTAACAAGTCTAAACAAGTGCAAACTATTAGAAAATGACCAAGTTTCAAAACAAGGTCTTAAGAACATGGCGGACAAGGTTAATTTCATGAATCTGCATAGGGTATGAAGGCAGGAACAAGAACAATCAGATTACCATCTCATCAAAATGGATTAGAAAATTCAGGCAACATGAATCAGAATCGTCCCTTATATACCCCATCACTCGTCTCACCACGGCTTTAAAATCCATTGGCTAGCCAAGTTCTAAACAAATCCTAGGTATTCAATTAAACCTAGGTATTTAATTAAATCTAAACTCTTAATTTCAACCTAAGCTCTGATACCACTAAATTTGTCACGCCCTAGAACCCGAATCCGAGGCTGGACAAACGCCGTGCACTCGTGAGAGGGTCCCACAAATGCACAAGGTTCGGAACTTATCATACCACAATTTGATACCACCAAAATCTGAAGATAAAATTTTATAATTTGCTCTAATATCATAAATCTCCAACAAAATCTAGTTTACAAGACCATGATTTATTTCTAAAATCTATATCAATCTCGAAATGGCTAGCCTTTTAACTCGTCACTTCCCGTGGTTTCCCCATTCTCGGTTTTGCTTCCTGAAATGGTAGACAAGGAAAAACTATGAGATAAACTCAGTAAGTAAAATATGGATAGCCCTTAATTAAACTTATAGCATGCCAACAAGTGTAATCACGAAAAACAGATACAGTACGGGAACAAAATGGACGTCTCCTCTACAGGTCATGGCCAGTGTTATAAACCTCCCACTGACAGGCACACGATTTACTAGTGTATAATCCCACTAGCAGGATAACAGAAACGAACCGGTTCTA